GGCTGGACCGGCGGTTGTTGGTAATCAAACCCGCTGTTTAGACGGGAAGCAAGCCAGGGAGTTCCAATAGCAACGCTTGTTTTTGGGAGCGTCTCTGGAAAAGGCAGCGTCACGACAGAGAGGTGCGTCGTGGACAAGCCGGACTGCTTCTGCCTCCCTCCCTCCCGCCCAGGGCTTGTTCTCAACGGAGCGTTGAGTCACGTCTTTGCTGGTTTGATGCTCCCAAGGCGGATCCCGAGGAGCCGAGCCTGGATGAGAGCGAGACCTCCCTTGGGTCAGAGCAACCCCGCGGCGTTTGCTCTCCCGGGGAGAGAAAGGGGCTGGAGAGGCACAGGCAGCGGAGGAGCGTTGCCATCAGCTGCCTGGCGTTAGCCGCGGCAGCGTTAATTTATGGCGGGCCCCCCCCCCCCCCGGCGCATAGGAATGGGGCAGCGTTTGCCCACTGCTTTCCGGGAGGGCAATTCGGATCCAGGGGGAGATCACAGTGCCCAGCAACTGGAAAGCTCCAGAGGATACCGCGCTGCTTTGCCAGGCTGCTGTTACCTTCGCCTGCTGAGCGGAGCGTGCCAAAGGCCTGCTGGAAGTCCTCCTCCTCCAGCACCAGTGGAGGTGGGAGGCTGACTCCGGCACATTCCAGGGAAGTTGGTACACCAAATATCCAGCCAAGAGAGTCCCATCTCCTCCTGCTGCTGCAAACGGTTCACGACCACATCAGTCTTGCTGGGGCAGAAACGGTCCAGTCCTGCGATTTACGCAAAATGACGAGAGACGCGAGATGTCACAGGGCTCCCTCCACCACCCAGCTCGCCCAGGGCGCAGGGCAAAGCCGCGCACGTGGGCTGGCCGTGCCGCCGGGCGCCCTGCCGTCCCGGCGTACGCATCCGCCCGGAGAAGGTAACAAACCAACAAATACGGATTTAATACCCGCCTGGGCAATGACAGCAGCAGGTGCCCTCCCGGGCAGCTCTGGCAACGGCAGGCATTTCCTCAAGACCTGCCACCAGCGTTGGCTCCCGCGTCGCTCCTCTCTGCCTGTACCACAGCCGCGGCTCCGAGGAGCTGCGTACGGATGTGGGTCCCTATGTATCTATGTCTATATGTGCTGGTCACGCTGCAAGCTTGGCTTAAGGAGCTCTTGGGGTCCGGCTCCTCCTTGGGGCTTCTGTTTCTTCTCCCTGCAAGGAATAAAATTGTCAGCCGTGATTTTTGGGTCTACTACGCGTTGCGGGTGGCCCTCGGTGTTTGCCATCAGCCAGCGGGTGCTGCTCGCCAGAGCGGCCAACACGCAGGCTCCGGTCTGCGTGTAGAGCTGCCGTAACCACCGACGGCACCGCTGCGGGCAGGAGTCGCTGCTTTATCCCGCCGGGAGGTTGTGGAGCCCCGAGAGCTTTGAAATTATTTGGGGAGCTGGAAGAATAATGCTGAAAGCCCCAAAACGCAGCACCTGTGCTCCATGGCCATCGGGAACACCCTGGCCGAAGCCTGGCACGTCACTGGGGTTACTGGAAAACCCGCTGGCACATCACTGGGGTTACTGGAAAACCCACTGGCTGGAGCTTTACGGAGCTGGGCCACGCCGAGCACCGGGATGGGGGACAAACAGCCGCTGCTGCCAAAACCGGCACCAGCCGTGGCGGGAGCATCCTGGGGCGGAGGTTTTCTGCAGGCCGTCCCCGTTTACATGAAACGCTGGGAAAATTAATTAGTCCAAGCTGTTGGGTTTGGTTTAATTTGTTGCAGCTCACTTCTGTTGCTGTAACGGCCCCCGCTCCCCAGAAATGCCGTGGGTAACTGCCTAAAATCACCTTTTCTTTACAATTATCCGTTTCCAAAGGCTTATAAAGCTGCTGGAAATTCAACCCAGGCTCAATTTCCCAGGAAAAGGCTTCCGCACGAACTGAGCTAAGCCTTCCTTCGACCTTCTTCTCCACCCACCCGGCCTTTGCGTCCCCCTTGTGCTTCCGCGTGGGTGCTGCTCAGTGCCACCCACCCCGTCCTCACAGGCCCCTGTGCCGCTGCTGCCAACGCCGTGGTCCCAAATCTGGAAAAAAAAAAGGAAGAAATCTCAATTTTGGATGCTGTCAGTCATTTGGAAGCCCCTGCATGAGCGGGAAGGCCCGTACCGCACCCCAAAAGTGGGTGGGTGCGCGGGGGTGCTCTGGCACGGCCTCGCTGGGGGAGCTCTCCCCGGGGCTTGGGGCGTCGGTGAAATAAAGCCTCCTTTGAAAGGACGAGGGCGGCTTTTAGTGATTTCATGACGTTTGGCTCCAAAGGGCGGCCCCGGGCACTGGCAGGGCCTGGGGAAGGCACCGCCCCGGGGCGCGGAGACCTGGGGGCCTCCTCGGAGCAAGGCCCGGGGGTGCCGGCGTCCGGGCTGCGATCTCAGGGCTGTGCCGGCTGTGATCCTGGGCGCGTCCGTGATCCTGGGGGAGATCCTGCCGTTGTCCCAGGGTGCCAGTGTCCCGGGAGTGATCCCGAGGGTGTTGGTGTCCCATGGTGTCAGCGTCTGGGAGTTGGGGTGATCCTGGGGGTGATGGTGATCCTGGAGGTGATCTGGGAGTGCCGGTGATCCCGGGCATGCTGATGTCCTGGGCTGCGGGTGATCCTGGCGTGCTGGTGCCCTGGGGTACAGGAGATCCCGGGGGTGCTGGTATCCTGGGGGTGATCCTGGTGTGCCATGGGTGATCCGGGGTGCTGGTGATTCTGGTGATCCCAGAGGTGATCCTGGTGATCCCAGAGGTGATCCTGGGGAGATCCTGGTGTGGTCCCAGTGATCCTGGGGAGATCCTGGTGATCCCGTGGCTGATCCCAGGGATATCTCGGTGATCCCGTGGCTGATCCTGGTGTGGTCCCAGTGACCCCGGGGAGATCTCAGTGATCCTGTGGCTGATCCCCGTATGGTCCTGCTGTGGTCCTGGTGTCTGGTGTGGCCCCAGTGATCCCGGGGGTGATCCTGAGGAGATCCTGGCAGTCCCACAGCTGATCCCAGTGAAGTCCCAGGCGGTCATCCCATGGCTGATCCTAGTATAGTCCCAGTGATCCTGGGGAGATCCCTGTGATCCTGTGGCTGATCCCGGTGTGGTCCCAGTGATTCTGGAGAGATCCTGGTGATCCCATGGCTGATCCTGGTATGGTCCCAGTGACCCCGGGGAGATCCCAGTGATCCTGTGGCTGATCCCGGTGTGGTCCCAGTGACCCCCAGAAGATCCTGGTGATCCTGTGGCTGACCGCGGCGTGCTCCCGCTGGTGCCTGGTGTGGCCCCGGCGATCCTGGGGGTGATCCCGAGGAGATCCTGGCGGTCCCACGCCTGATCCTGGTATAGTCCCAGTGATCCGGGGGAGATCCTGGCAATCCTGCGGCTGATCCCGGTGTGGACCCAGTGATCCTGGGGAAATCCTGGCGATCCCAGCGTGGTCCCAGTGATGCCGGGGAGATCCCTGTGATCCCGCGGCTGATCCCGGCGAGGTCCTGGTGCCTGCTGTGGCCCCGGCGATCCCGGGGGCGATCCCGGGGGCGATCCCGGGGGCGATCCCGGGGGCGATCCCGGGGGCGATCCCGGGGCGATCCCGGCGGTCCCGCGGCCGGGCCCGC